CTAATATTATTATTAGTATTATCATCAGCATCATCACTACTACTGCTACTACTACTACTATTATTATTATTATTAATTTTATTATTATTACTATTACTATTTTTTTATTATTAATATTATTATTACTATCATTACTAGTATTATTATTATTATATCATTACTATTATTATTATTATATTATTATTATTATATCATTATTATTATTACTTTTATTTTTATTTTTATTTTTATTATTAATACTATTACTATAATAATAATAATAATTATTATTATTATTATCATTATTATTATTATTACAATTCTTCTTCTTCCTATTGTTGTTTTTGTTGTTGTTGTTAGCCCTCTATCTATCTCTCTTTCTCTCCCTTCCCTGTTACCTTTGCTGTTACATTTTCCCCTTTCTTTCTATTTCTCTATCATTCTCTCTTTCTAAACTTTTTCCCTTTCGTTCACTCGACTTTGAAGGCAAGCTACCTACTGCCGCCCGAACACCCGTCAGCCGGTTGGCTGCACACCTCCGGCCTCCTCACGCCAGCTTCTCCTACCGGCGGGGTTGCCGTCGTCTGGATCGACCGAGTGGCTCGTGTCTGCCGGACCTACGACACTCGTGGACTCGTCGCCCATCGGCCCGACCGCCAATTGGCGGCGCCGATGCATTCCGCGTTTGTCGAGTGTCTGGCTCGTCAGGCCATGCATAAAGCGGCCGGCCGAGCGTCAGTCTTCCCCAACAGCAGAGGCCTTACGGCTGTGGCCGACACGACCTGGACCGACGACCTACAGACCGGACCGCACGATCAGACCATGAATCCGGTTGGTGTCCTGCTCACCATTGCCATGTCGCATTCACAGTTGGCCAGGCCAGACCAGAAGCCATGGCAACTTCCGGCCTCGGCCCGTTAATATGATACATTCTCTCAGCATCATCAGTGAACCTTAACATTCTTAGCACCAAACTGTGAACTCTTCAAACACAGCACTAAATAAAGGAAGATAGAAAAGAAAAGGTTTGATGACAAGAGTCACCTGGTTTCTTCATCTCGCCAACACCCCCGGTGGGATTCGAGCTAAGGGCGTCACTGGGTACCAGAGAAGATGTATACATACATATATGGATGATCCGGTGACTTTTCTGGGCGAGTCAGCCCAGATATGATTGTTAGAATGCTAGTCTGCTCTCATCACATCCGTCATATGACGGACGAAAGCTTAGCACGTGTTGGCCGAACTCGAAGAAGGTTGCCGTGGCGGCAGAGTCAATAAGAGGTTTCCAATAATGCCAACTGGCTGCTGGCCACGAGGAATCTGCTGTCGTCTTTTGGTGGGATCCACCTTCGAATCTCTTAATCGCACACTCTTTTATCAAAACGCAAGGGAACCCAAAGTTAAGTTTCTATTCTAGAATTGCCGGTAGCCTCGAAAACTACTCATGTCTAAATTAGGCAGTATGAAATGTATCCGTCCCAGTTCTAAAAGGGGACTGGTAGTTGAATTTCCCACAAGGTATTCTTATCCAGGCTGGAGTGAACTGCACTCTCGACTTCGTCCAAGTCTCGTCAGAACCCTCAGCGGGACTCTAACTCTGACAATGGAGTGTATAATCTCGATATGTTAATCGCCACGCTACGTTTCCACGATTGCCCTTTAGTCACAGTGCAGATGTGAATTTTAATAAAGCCCAGACATTTTCAAATATTACGTTTGATGGTGGGAGTGTCGATGAAAGAAATTTATTTTGCTGTAGCAATCAATTGCATTACTTATTTTCAGTTTGTAAGTAGGGTTTCGAGATTACTAATAAATAAATAAATTGAGTGAGATGTATTTACCCCATTTCGTTTAGGGCAGTTGAATTTTTCCACAAGCGAATGAATCAAGGCTGTGTGCTATTCAATGCCCATATGATTGTGTGAAACTTCAACCACCAGTCCCCTTATCGCCTTCAACGAAATAGGATGAACTCATCTCATTTATTTGATTTACCGGCAGTCTCGAGACCTTAATTACAGACGAACAATAAAGTAAAGAATGTTTTCGGTTTTAAATGGCAAACACATGATTGCCTACACGAAAACCCCACTGTAAAATGTAATTTGGATATGGCTTGACTTGTCTTGAATGCCACATCTTTTCTGCTACTTTGTGACATCTTTAGCTCGAATTCCGCCAGAGAGGTTGGTGAAACGAGAATGCGCGGTCGCATCTTCCGCCCACTCTTGCTGGTACGAGATAGCCTTTTGGCAGACAAGGCCGAGTGGAATAAAATGGTTTTCTGAGGCCATTACGTGTGCCAAACTATGGGTCCTTAAGCCAGTATGATCTTCTTCAAAAATTGTATTTCCCTCTGTTTTATGATCGAATTTCGTTATTTACACACTTCCGTAGCCTTGTGGGAGGCTTCATTTTCTCTCAGGGTGTGTTCTCGATCCTCGAGTCTACTCGATCGCTGCTTACGGAGAAGACTTGCTATGCAATATTGTGTGTCGGGCTGTACTACGGCCTCGTCCATTCACCTCACGTCTACTTGCGTCTTCAAGTCTCGAGGAATTCGACTACCGATTGTCGGGTTCAGATGCCCTCGGTTGGCGACTGTTGGTATAGAACCCGGCTCCTTCACTTCAACTTAACTCCTTGAAGCTTTTGGCGCTTAACTTGGGGTCCCATTTCGTTACAGACCGCATATGTCATGAGACTATTTTTTTGTCTTCTTCCTCCTCTATTATGTGCTATTTATGATTTGTCAGCATGTAATTATTCATCCCCTTTTTCTTTTCTCTTTTCTCCCCAACCTCTGTCAGCACGTCGACGCACTTTTTGAACAGGTCCTGACTTTCAGTGGCGTCATTTCAGTTCATCAAGACAGGACGGTCGAAGCAGCTTGTGCATGCTCACCAAAGTTTCACATTTGTCACGAGCCAATT